AGGAGACATGACAGTGGGCTTACACCCGTCACGCGAGGACGGGGGAGACGGGGAAATTACATGAAATGTAGGATGAAGCTGGAGACTGAGTAGGATGTAAAGGTTCCGTGGCCTCTCCGGGTTTGTAGTGATTGATAGATGTGAGATTAATCCACCCTAGAGGTGCCACAGGAATGAATAGCCCTTAATTAAGGAGGGTTTGTAGTTGTGATATTTTACGGGCTATTCATGCCCGTGCCACCTCTTGGGTGGCTTAATCTTCGTCAATCTGTTGTGATACTATTACTACGTAGGTGATGTGAGGGGTTAATGGGTTGGCAGGTCAGCATGGCTGGCTGGTGGAGGGGTGGCTGTGTTGTGCTGCTTCCGTGGCTCCTCTGACATCAAGCTTTCTGCGATGCTTGCTTGCTTTCTTCGTACAGGTTGTGTAGCTTTTATTTTTTGTTTAGCTTTTTAGTTTGAGTAATATGTATATATATATATATATATATATATATATATATATATATATATATATATATATATATATATATATATATAATATGTCGTACCTAGTAGCCAGAACGCACTTCTCGGCCTACTATTCAAGGCCCGATTTGCCTAATAAGCCAAGTTTTCCTGAAATAATATATTTTATCTAATTTTTTTCTGATGAAATGATAAACCTACCCATTTCATTATGTATGAGGTCAATTTTTTTTTATTAGAGTTAAAATTAACGTAGATATATGACCGAACCTAACCAACCCTACCTAACCTAACCTAACCTATCTTTATAGGTTAGGTTAGGTTAGGTAGCGGAAAAAGTTAGGTTAGGTTAGGTTAGGTAGGTTAGGTTGCCGAAAAACAATTCATGAAAACTTGGCTTATTAGGCAAATCGGGCCTTGAATAGTAGGCTGAGAAGTGCGTTCTGGCTACTAGGTACGACATATATATATATATATATATATATATATATATATATATATATATATATATATATATATATATATATATATATATATATATAATGTTTAAAAACCGTCAGTATACTCACTAAAAACAGATAATATGGTCTCACACTTTGCTCTCCTCTCATTATACTGCGCACTAATCCATCCGTATCTTACATACGGTATCTGTGTATGGGGTTCAACCACTGAAAATTATCTCAAGCCCATCATCACTCAGCAAAAATCTGCTATTAGAACTCAACAAGCTGTCTTGAGACAACACACAGGCCCGCTGTTTAAGTTTCGTAACCTGTTAAACATACATATACTCCACACATTCTCTTGTGCTATTTACATGTACAAAATCTTTTTCCTAAATGCTAATCTTGATCTGAAACTCTTTATTGATAGGTGTAATAGAACCCATGAGCATCACACCAGAAATAAATATCTCTTTGATATTCCCAGAGTCAAACTAAATCTGTGCAAACACTCGATGGAATTAAAAGGACCTAGTCAATGGAACTCGCTCTCTAACGAATTAAAAAAAATCCAACCTATGCCTTATTCAAAAGTAAAACCAAAAAAGTATTTAATTACATCCTCATAGTTTCCTACTTTGTGCTTCAAACCCACACTGTATCTTGTACTACCCAATACTTGTACTTTGTCACTTCACCAGTGTAATAAGGGGCTTAATAAGTAGAGTAATAAGTAGACCTCTGGCAATTTATTTTGTAGTTATATTTTAATATAAAACTTTGCTACATTCTACCTTTTCATATTACCTATGAAATGTTAGATTAAGGACCTGCCCGAAACGCTACGCGTGTTAGTGGCTTTGCAAGAATGTAATACTATCAGTCTTATGTAATCTCACCAATCCATTGTACCTTCTTGTGAATAAAGAATATTATTATTGCTTATAATAATTTTTTCGTTACTTCATCAAGCGAAGATTGGAGCTGTGAATACGGGTCTTGGGAGGCCAGGGCTATGGATATGTCTTATAACTTTACGTAAAAGAGTGGTCTTTTTTATTTCCATGAGGGTGTTCTTGGATTTCACAATCGCTTGCTGTATTTATACTTTCAAGGGAAGTCTCCACGCGAGACTTCCCTTGAAAGTCTCTCTGTCAAGAGCCTCTACATCCTCGGGGATGTAGAGGCTTTCTTTAATCTTGCAGAATTGTCTTCTTGAGTCTGATCTTCGTGGGGATCTGCTTGATACCTGCTTGATAGGGTTCTGGGAATTCTTCTACTCCCCAAGGCCGGCCCGAGGCCATGCTTGACGTCACCCTGAGAGACCTGTAAAGCTGGTCTGTTCTGGTTGTCATTTAAGGTGACATTTGTTTAAAAGCTGAGTGTCCTATTTAGGTCTCTGGGTTCAGTGGGTATAGAGGGTATTTTAGCGCTGGTCAGTTCATCATTTTTGTATACGTGGAGCTTGACGATGGTTGGAGCCTGTCTGAATCTGTAAAGCCTTGAGTGAGGTCTTTTTTTTTAGTTCTCGTCCTTCCTATAAGTACTAAGAAAACAGGAGGATGGGCTATATTAACATACTTAGCATAATACAAAGTCACACAGCAACAAGCTGCACAATAGACTTGAGAATGGTCCAGGACGGACCGAAACGTCGTCGTCCCTTCACTTTCTAGTGTTCTAGTGTGTGGTTTGGTCAACGTATTTCTGCCACGTTATTGTGACTCCTCATCATTTCGAAGTATGGTGTCATTTGGTACACAGTGTGTAACACATTTGCGTGGCGGTGGAGCGGAGTTTAGCATCTCCCCAAACTTACAATATACAATACTATACTATAAAAAATAGCGCCTCATAAAACTCTTACATTTGTTATGCATCAGTTGGTTAAGTAGGTTGCTTGGATTGGTCCGTTTCTAGTTGGGTTAGGACTTTGTATTGTGTACGTTATGGCAAATTAATAGAATGGGTTCAGCAGAGAGCTGAAATTGGGAAATTCCGAGCTCCAGATATTGGTGGGAACGCGAGCACATGTCCACAGGTCACTGGTATCTGCTGTAGAGTGCAGCCCTCACCATCACGCCCGCTCTCACCCTCATTTTGTTTATGGTCAACAAATATAGCAAAGGGAACATGCAGGTGAGATGAGCTGCCACTTGCGTAGTTACATTACTTGCCTCGACTTTTTTGTACTCGAAATGCATGGAGGACACATATGGCTTTATTTACTTTAAATCATCAGGCCTATCTATTGGTTCTTTAGTAATGTGTGTATATATATACTTAGTGATCGTGGTAGGGATGGGATATACAGGTTGGTTATTAACTCCCTCATTCATCTTCGGGATATATTATGCATATTTAATAGTAAAGACCAGTCCATAAAAGTAATGACTTTTATGTAAAGACCCATAAAAAAAGCTACTTAGTTAACAACTGTTTAAAACGCCGGTTCTAATTTTTTTATATATAAAAAATAGATACAAACATTTACCCTTTTTCATTACAAGTTCTCATGATATATGAGAAAATAGTGGAATTGTGCATATATGTGCAAATATAGCTTCTTGGTGTTCTTGCAGGATTTCAATCATTTCAGTCATGCATTGTGTATGAAGTTTATAATCTCTCATAAGTATAACCCCAATACTAGTGAAAGTCTTTTGTATTACTTTTATTTTAGCTTGTGTTTTATGTCTTCAAATTCCTTCTTTAGATTTATTTTACTTTTGTTTATGATTAGAATGAATATTGGATTAAGCGTTTCAGTTAGTATTTGCCTCCGTTTTCAATAGTCTTCAGCGTACCTTTACCAAGACGGTCTTTTTGTTGTGTGTTCCAGAGAAACCTATTTCAGGCAGATATTGTATACTTCGGAAATCGGTAAAGGTAAATCAGTAAAAATTAAGTTGGATTTTTGGTACTCGGCTGGTTTACAATTTGTTAAGTTTCCTTTTGTGTAGTCTATTGTCGAAATTATATTTATAGAATTGGCCTTTCCCACTTGTTTTGGAAATATTATGTACATTAATGTGTACATAATATTTCCTATTTCCTATAACATATTAATATTATGTAAATAATATTAATACGTTTGGAGTATATGAATTTGTGGTCTGAGCATGCAGAGTAGTGGCAGAGGTGGACATATCCCTGCTCATATCTTCATGGTTTCTAAAGAATTTTTAGGTTTCTAGTTAGCTCTGTTATCTGTAGAGTGAAACTTGTCACAAAGTCCAAGGCAACCTTTAACCGGTAAATGAAGCAAGTATTAACATTAGTATCATGTGCACAGCTAAGTTGCTCAGTTACTGCATGAAATTCATGATTTTAATTAAAGAATTTTGAATAAGTAGTTCATGCAGTAAGAAAGCAAATTACATGTGCAAAGGATAATAAAGCTTGCCATTTTGCAACAAAATCTTAAGAAATTGCACGTCCAATATTAATTAGACATATATTGACAAACATGTTGCATTGAATGTCTCGTAATTCAAATATTGCATTATACTATATAATTATATATATATATATATATATATATATATATATATATTATAGATATATATATGCAACAATGATCACAAAAACACCGATTCCAAGTATGGATCATACTACTCTACTCTGATGAAGGCAGATGATATAATTTGATGATGATATCATTTTCTAAATTTTTTCTTATGAAATGATAAATTTGTCCATTTCATTATGTATAAGTTAATTTGTTTAAATTTGAGTTAAAACTAACGTAGATATATGACCGAACCTAACCAACCCTACCTAACCTAACCTATCTTAACCTAACCAAAACTATCACAACTAAGTCAATAAATTATGGTCTTAATATAATATAATAATAATAATTCAAATATACTAAATGGAAACAATTTATTGAAAATAAAGAAAATCACTCAGCCTATTAGGCAAATCGGGCCTTGCATAGTAGGCCAAGAAGTGCATTCTGGCTACTAGGTACGACTATTATATATATATATAAATGTGTAGCCCATCATAAGATATTGATCCCTCATGATTCTACCACCAACCTAGTACTATATTTCCATATTAGGACAAATTAATATTCAATTTAGTTCAAAGATAGTTCTTTATATATATATATATATATTTTATACATTTAAATATAATAATACATAACTGCTAAAAATATGTTGTACATACAATAAGTGGACGGGTCAGTTACAGTAAATTAGGATATTGCACTTTCATTTGATGTTTGTACGTGGGAATCTGGACAAGAAACAGTCTCTAAAAAACTAGACTAGTTTCATGTTCTCGGGTTTTAGTGAACAAATCCTTTATGAATTTACAAGCCTCATCAATCATATAATTCTATAGAATATGCCTCAATAAAACAAATATATTTTGTTTTGTTTCCAAAATGTCACATCAAGTTTTATAAGCGAGGAATGGATAGTTTTGTTATGGCATATTTCATTTAAAGCTAGAATTATAGTTTCAGTTTATACCGCTAGAATCTGAGATTCAACCGTGATCAATATTTCACTTGGCGTTTACATCCATTACATCATTTGAATTTAGTTGTAAGACTGCATGCAATACAGATTTAATGGCAAAAACATGTATAGGAAAGAAAATCCAGTCCTGACTTCATACTCTCCTCCATATAATAAAATGTTTCCCCCCCAATTGTTTTTGTTTATATCTTTAAACACACACAGACGACAGCCATTAGCCACACCGATCCAAACACTTAACTGAAAAACCACATCTCGGCAAAAACACACATTTTGTTACAAGAAAGAAGATTCTGTCGTAGGCTTAAATACAATTTACAAAACTGTTCATGACATCCTGCTTTTTGTTTCCTTTTTAAACAGTAGTGCTGCAACTTTTTTTACCAGTTACCAAAAGTCAAACTGCATCCAGATGTTGAAGGAATTTCTTTAACACATACACATACTGTACAATAGATCATAAATAATTTTATAAGGTACAGTACATATCACACGTGCTTTTTCCTTGCTAAAAACTTTGAGCCATTAAAACATGAACTTGCAAATTACAAAAAAAGAAAAATGTGCAAAATCATTAATTATAGACAGTTTAATTAATAATGCTGCTTCTATACCAATTCTTAGTGCAAAAACATACTGTATAAATGGCAACTGTTGCAATACAAGCCATGTACAGGAGTTCTGCCATATCACATAATACAGTCTTCAACTGACTCGAGCAATTTCTTCCTATGAACTCAAATTATAATGCTTTTAACAGATTTAAATGTATATTTAGATTTGTTTAATTATCTTAAAGGACACCCTTATCTGTGACATGTAATACTGTTGGAAAGGATTGTCTGTCTTCTGTCCAGATAGGTAGCTATCTGGACAGAAGACAGACAATCCTTTCCAACAGTATTACATGTCACAGATAAGGGTGTCCTTTAAGATAATTAAACAAATCTAAATTTACATTGAAATCTATTATCGTAATTCTAGATATCGTAATCTTTAAACAAAAGTATGGCACTATCATCTGACTTGATATAATAATTTACTATGCCATTACAACAGGTATGTTTCCAGATGTTATACATAATTTGTTGCTATATTCACAAAGCTGCAAGCCATATAAAAAATGACAAGTGTTTTCAAACATCAAATCAAAAAAATCAAAATGTTTATTTAGGTAAGGTACATGCATAAAAGAGATTTTACAAAGAGTGATGGATTTATAGTTAGGGCTAGTACATACAATGCCTAAAGCCACTATTACGCAAAGCGTTTTGGGCATAAAATTTTCAGTTGCAGTATTCTTTAAATGTACTAAAAACAGTAAGGAAAGGGGGTAGGAGGGAGCACATAAAAATCAGTCGTTGCTTGTCCACTGCCAACTTTTTTTTTAATGTTAGGGTGAGTTTTGTCATTTTATTTAGAGTATAGGATGTAAAAAGAGAACTTGGAAGCTGGTAATGCTACACAAAACATGAATATTGAATACAGTATATTAATTCTGAATCAAAGTATTTTTTTGCAGCTTCTGGGCCACATGCACATAGCGGGTTATTAAGTTGCATTATCTTGTAGAAAAGTAGCTCATTACAAGTCAATCCAAACATCACTATAGTGAGCCCAGAAAATAGTGACAAGTCCCACACCAATTGATGCCAGCATCACTAACTAAAACCAATAATGGGGTAGGGGTAATGACACACCCAACACATTCACATGTGTTGGGGATAACAAGTGCCAAATTAATGCAAATAAAGTACAGTAAAGCAACAGTTAAATAAATGTTGTAGAGTTCAAAACAACGAAAGACTATTCGAGGATACAAAAGAAGTCAAAGCAGCTCAAACAACTTTGCATTATCTACCATTATTAATGAATACAATCATAAATTGGCCTAGAATGATTATACAAGAAAACCCAGGGGGGGGATTTCACAATCAAGTGTGCAGTAATTACTGTAACTACATTATTTTCAAACAATATTAAGAGTACATTTATAGTAAATTGGTTTCATTTAAAAATAACCTTATAACTAACAAGGCCCCAACTCACCAGAATCTTATCAACAAATTACTTTTCAAGCATAGGTAGCAACTTTGGGAGTCAAGATTGATACAGCTAGGCTTATCGAGGTCCGTTCCCCCCTCACCCCCCCCCTTTCCTGGACAATGACGAAGTTGTTCGCACAGTCAATCAGTATTGGTAATAACCTGAATGATGTCCACACATCATACACTGAAAATACATACAGTATTCTAATATATGGCTATATACCAATATTGAACATAAACTACTTGCTCATATAAAACTTACCAAGTAGAACTAAAAAGAAAAAAAAAGAAATATATGTCCAAAGCCCCAGAAAATTTAACCAGACCACACACTAGAAGGTGAAGGGACGTTAATCTACTTGAGAATGGTCTAGAACGGACCAAAACGTCGTCGTCCCTTCACCTTCTAGTGTGTGGTCTGGTCAAACTACTTCAACCACAGTATTGTGACTCATCGCCCCCAGAAAATGAAATTTTGGCTCTAAATATAAAGAGAAAAGTCATTAACTTGAATTATCCAGACTAAACCTTCTTAACTGATATTCACTCAATCTATGAGGGGCATCACCTAATTATCTAATTAAACTACCTATATATCTTTGGTCCTTGGTAATAAAACCTAAGACAAAATTATAGAAAGCACATCATATTTTTTTAACACTCTTGCATCTATGAAATAACAGAGTGAATGTTACTTATAAAATAGAAAACATCTCTAATGTTTAATATATACTTAAAAACAAAAACAATTCTGAGGTCTAATAATGGCTACCAGCAAATTAAAATTGAAGAAAACTAGACTTCAAGTAGTTTATGAAAATAAATTGGCACATTTATTACTAATAAATTGGTCAACAAAGCTTGGTAAAATCAATACAAGGCTGTAGTTCGAAATCTTGTAAGTTTTGGCCCCATAAACCGAAGCTTTAAACCCACTACCGCTACTCGTCTATTTAAGAATGTAGGTACAAGCAACACGCGATTTAGGTTATCCTTTTCTTTCAAATGATGCATTATCAAAATTGTATCAAACTGCTACTTTTGCTTTTGTTTTAATTCTTCAATCAAAATTCATCACTAGTACACACAGTAGTGAGTATATACACCTTTACCACAGAGAGTAATGTCAAGATATTACGACTAGTAACTACTGGTAATTCTAACAAGTAACTTAATTTCTTTGTACATTATGACTAGAACTAATTAAATGATATGACTAGTGCATGTTACATATACTGTATATCACACATGGCAAAACTCGCACATATCGAGGGACACACTGTGGTTTCTAAAGAATCAATGGATGCAGCCCTGACTAGTAATGCTCTGAAGCAAAACTGGATTCAAGATATAAAGTCAAGATGAAAGCCTGAGCAAGAAGAGATTCAAATGTCTCGCCAATCGCAGAGTGTACGCAACAATGGCTAGCAGACCATTTCCTTCAAGGAGTGCCGGACCTACCGGGCTGTGGTGGGTATGTGGGCCTGCAGGCCGCTCCAAACAACAGCCTGGTGGACCAAACTCTCAAGTCAAGTCTGGCCCCGGGCCGGACTTGGGGAGTAGAACTCCCAGAACCCCATCAACCAGGTATCAACCAGACCCAGGAGCTACACATATTAACAGTATGGTCTTCAGGTACCTGAAGGTAAGGGCCAGTAGTGTCCAAGTGTACTGTAAGCAACAGTGAGGGACCAGAGGCCGACCCATCAAGTGAGAGAGAATGTGATATTTTGTGGAAGCAGTTAGGGAGTCAGAAGTTTGACCCACAGGCAACCAGGTGAAGGTTAGCCTGAACGAGGTAACAGTGACAATGACTTGCGAGACGTTGGTGAAAACGAGGGACCACAAGCGAGTTGGGTCCCATGAGCAACAGTCCAGGATACAATGTGTTATATTCATGTCCCTGGTTTATTTTTTTTAGAGATATATAGATAGATATATATATATAGAGAGAAAGATAGACAGAGAGAGGGAGAGATTTAGATATAGAAAAAGATTTAGATAGTGAGATAAATATATAGTGGGTGAGATATATATATATACTGTATATACAGTATATGCATATTTGACTGTGGTTTGTGCAGAGGATGACCGGTTACTAATTATTAGGAGAAAACTACATTACACCTGGTAATGTTTGTTTGATTTGTTCACCAGGAGGAAATATTCGTTACTTCCTAAAAGTTGGCATGGTTGCACCATGCCGAGCAGACCCCTGACATTTTACCTGGCTTGAATTGCTGCTTATACTTGGCTGTAAATTAGAAACTGCCCACTTGCGCATTTACATACTGAGATTACAGTGTTTTGTGCAAGGAGACCCCCCTTTTATTAGACTCCAGACTCAAGCTGTGCCATATTAACATGAGCAGAGGTTTTGATAACCCAACTGGAACTGAAGTAGCAGATTTAATTTCTCAGACTCAAACTGAGGAGAGCCATCAAACCTTTTATCTAAGAGTTCTAGATAATCTTCAGATTAGTAATGTAATTGGCGCCAGAACAGAATCAGCTTAAATAGAAAAAAGGATTATGCACATTGCAAAGATAATGGAATATTCTAGCAAAGGCTCTAGAAAAGTTCAGAAGAAATTGGGTATAGTGGTACGAACCTTCAGGATCCATGACACTTTTAAGGAGAAACTTCTACTAATGGAGCACCAGCAGTCATCATGATCGGACGTATTTCTGGTTGCTCCTCACCTCGGCGAGCTGCTAGCCTTAGAGAGTGAGGAAGCACACTTCCATCAGCACCTCGCCACATTTCGACGGGACCAAAGAGCCAAAGCTCAACTCCCCAAGCAAAACTAGGCGAGTTCATTGAGGGGAAGGTGCCAGCTGTGTTGCTTCATCTTCAAGTCACTAATGGTACAAGCCACCAAGTACAGTACCATGATCTTATACCAAAGTGTACAGGAACAGCCACAAAGGCAAAACACTACCACTTAGTTCAAGAGAGATTACTGGAACCAGAGCAACAGGGGGGGGGGGGTACCTTACACCCTTACACACACACACACACTTATACTCATTCTACCATCAGAATAGAACCAAGGCTGTAACAGCTGGGTAACTGCGGGCTGCCTCCATCTATCCCCTAAAGTGGGGCTAACAAGCTAGCCCTAGTTCAGTGAATTTTTTGTTGTTTACATGCTTTGGGGGGAGTTCCTTAGGGGGGTGGTTTCAAGACTGCAGTTTCTATTTTGCCAACAGTGGTTTTTGTTTTGTTTTGCAACTTTCTGGGTGTCTTTCCTGGTGGGTAGCAGACATGAATAAATTCATAGAAACTTTACACTAAGTACCACCGCTTCCTGCTTCTCTGTGAGGTAGCCAAGTTCTGGTTCTTGTCCTCAGTAGGCCAACAGAACTCCGCAACTGCATTGGACCTTGTAGTACAGCACACTAAGATCTTATGGCTTCAAATCTCAAGTCAAGTCTTATGGCTTCAAGTTAAGAAAAGTCTCTTATGGCTTCAGAGAGCCATAAGAGACTTTTCCCCAGAAAAAAATTAACAATTCTTAATATTTAAAATATAGATATTTTGGTGTAACAAATGGCATACATGATGATGAAATAAAGATTATTCCCAAGTGTGGAATTACAGTACTGTTCTGTACTCATAAAATTTTATGTATCAAAAATTTACTCATCAAATTTATATACAAAATAATTTGATGTAAAATAAAATATTAACACATCCTACATTTAATTTAAATCTCTCTATATAATATTAACATAATAGGTAAATCTCTCCAGTTCGGTATTATAATCGTCAACCTGTTCGTATGTGCAGAATTCGGGGCTGATCTGCCTCAAGACCAACCCTCCGTCGTCACTGGCAAACACCTGTCATGAAAGACAACTATCAACGACAGTTAAGGAGAAACTAGAGCATTATTCTGTTTTTAGGGATAGTATTTGTGAGACTTGGCTTGGTACAGTAAAAAATACAGAATTGGCTTTAAAATACATTGTATTTTTGTGTACTGTATACTGTAATTTGCACAATTGTGAAAACAGCCACTTGTATTATTAACAAATTAAACCAACAACTGAAAATTTAACAACATAAAAATCAAAGTGTCGTAGGTAAAAAAGAAAAGTAACACTCGATACAAATACATATATAAATTTATATTTATATAGAGAGAGAAGACACACACACACACACACACAGTGGCTTCAGTTGCCCTAAATATGGGTATAAATATTTATCATGCTTTCCCCATTTAATTGTTCCTTTATTTTTTTACCATGACCAGGCACTAAAAATTTATTTTTATTCATGACTGGGGGTTCCTTTCTCTGCCTGCTCTCTCTATGCCCTCTTACTTGATGGTCTTCTTAATTAATTTCAATCCCAAACTGTATATATTACAGCTTTATCCCATTTCCCACTCGCTGAGTAAGCATGAGCGCTGAGAAAGAGAGAAACTATATACCCCTAGAGTAAAAGAAAGTTACAGATATTATACAACTATCATTCGTCTACTTGTTAAATCATATACACAATATAGCATTGCAGATAATTAAGCACCAATACACTCCACCAATTATCCACAGCAGCACCCTCATCACTTCACAAGACCAGATGAATATGGCTTCCCCTTCAATTTTCATACACAAAACTCCCTCACAAATTGGTTCCCCTCAGTTTTGACCCTTCTTATATCCCACATATTGTTCACACTCAAACCCAACTTCTATACACTCAATATGTCCCCCCCCCCATCTTGTTGTACGAGTACTACTATTACAGTACTTCCTTTAAAAATCACTCGACATACTCCTCACCAGTCTACCATTATCCACTCATTCAACATGCCCAAACCACTTCAGAATGCTATACACAACGTTTCATTCCACATCTCTTAAGACATTTTTATTCTATATTCTCCTAACATCAGAGATGTAATTTTTTATTTTTAAGTTCACACCAACCACACCATCACTGCATATCCATACAGGGCTAATAAATACACTTCTTCAAGCCCTCACCTAACTGGATCTTTAACTTTTTAAAACAATAACCTTCAATACATCAGCCACTTTCTTTCTCTGATACCCATATTGCCCTTGCAATAAATGTCACTTTCCAATTTGTCCCCCCCTTAGTGGCTTGTTATTTTTCATGCTCTCTTCCACTTAGCCATTTGTTGGGTGTTCTCATTCCAGTACAAGCATGTGGAATACTACTTCACGACACAAATGCTAAACTAACATGAATTTTTTCACCACTGTTTCAGGCACATGAAAAATATCTTTACCACTTTGAAGATATCCAAAAGGTTTGGGGAAACACTGCATACTAGGGAAGGAACAAAAGGATCAAATATACATAGAGAAAAGCATCTCAAAATGATATTACTTACAGCATACACAGAATGGTGAGAATTTATTTGAGTTGTGGCTATATGGAATGCATGCAAGCTGCCGCCCACCAGTCCCCCCGACTCCACTGTCAACACCGGGAAGATGTCACCTGCACTTAAGTCCCACACATGTAACCTGTAACGCAGCACCACATTACGATATACCCAAGAGGGATGCAACACACTAGACAAGTGTAAAATACAATCAGAAATAAACAACTGTGAAATTTCTCATGTGTATGTATATTGTATACATACACATGTATATATATTGCAAGGTAATCTGATACAGTACTAAAAAATGTATTGTGCTCAACACAGATATTGATGGAACTGGTTTCAAAACCAAGATACTGTATATAGTTGATATTTTGCTTAAAATGGCTCCAAGAATATTTCTACATAATTCAGTCCAAGTGGTTTTGATCATTAGTATGTAACTATAAAATAGTAATACCTTACTTTCCAGTGACACATTTTCTGACCAAAAAAAATCTTTACAACAAACCAGATATGACTAAATTTATTTTTAAATAAAAAAATACAGCAATATTAATGTATACCGACAGCCGAAAACTACGGATATAACCTTGAAAGTGAATCCAAAACATAGAAAACACATGGACGAGCCGGTGACCACTGCATGGCAACAATAGGTGATGAGTCAGGTGAAGACTGCCATGAAGTGAGTGGTCGTTCGGTGTTTGTGCTGTGAAGTCGCACAACACCATCACCGCTCCCTACAAGCAGGTATCGAGTATCATGTGGACAAATGGCCAAACACATAGCTTCACATCCTGGTTCTGAAAAAGTATTATTAAAAGCATCATAAAACAATATACTACTAGCATAGAATGTATGACAATTTTTTTTATATTACAAAACAAAATAATAAAAATAGTAATCCTTATCAACACTTTCAATTTGTGAAACATTAGGCACATTAAAATATTGGCCAACTTCATTCATCTTATAACTTGTAATATCTGAAGTACTGTATATATGTATTCCATACATAAAGTAAAATGGCTCAACCGAACCTAACTCCACTAACAAAAATCACCAACCAATCAGAGGCTACCCTTGTCTTTTCACCATAATCGAGACTGAACAGTAATTCTCAAAATATTTACAAAATGAAGAAATATAATAATAATTAAATGCATACAGAGTATAAAAAAAATGGGCTGACTTTGATAAGCCAAATGAGGAAACCCACCCGTTAACAGAGTACAGTACAGTATATACAAATGAACAAAATGTACAAATAAGACAACCAGAGGTAAGAGTAATAAAGTACACAAAAAATTAAAATATGTACTAATTATACATAGCAGTTATTACTTTTCCTTCGTGCAACATACACTTTAGATCAAATGAGTTCTCTTTTAAATTGAACAGGTGGAACAGACATTCTCAAAATTTATTATACTAATGCAGAATCGGTAAATATACATTCATTCTATCTCATTTTACACTTGAGACATATACTATACTGTGCTTTTAAATATTAAAAAAACAAAATTGTATACAATTCGCTTAGCACTGACCAATTTCTGGTACATACGACTTGGGGTTTGTACGGGAGGTGAAGCGAGAGCAGTGGGCCACAGCACCACTGCCAGTGGCAACATACAATTGATTCGGGTCATTTGGATCCAATTTCAAGCTGTGGCAGCTGATGCCCATAGCCAAAGCTGCCTCACTGGAAAATATAACAAATATGAAGCTTCACACAACACTCCTCACTCCTGTTGTATCTATCCAACAGTGCCACAACAGTATCAGGGTCTGTTCAACAAAATAATGATTATGATGGCTTCTGAAAAACAAAACAAAAATACATGGTCTATTAAAATATGTTTCATGGTGGGTTCTGCCCTAAATTATAATTGGTTTTGCAACAAAATTTTATATAGTGGGTTCCCTTTCGTTAAATACTCTTTATTGCACATTTCTTTAATTGAAGATTGATAATGCAATCAAAATGTCCCATTGTTCCTTTGAACAGCCTTCTCTACACCAGCCTTTAGTACTTTTGGCAATTCTTCAAAGCTAACTAATTTATCAAAAGAAGGTGCCAAGGCTGGAAGACTATTTAGCTCTGTCCATAGTGCATCCACTGATGAAGGTTCATAGAACCCTCTATGAATGTTCACCCCACATCTCTCTCGAGATTTTGACCGGGTTCGAGCCCTGGAATGAGGACTCATGGGCACTGATGCATAGCTTTTCACCCTTGTTCACCTAGTAATAATTGGGGACCTAATTGTAACCCAACTGGCAGGTTTTGATCCAGTTTAAAACAAGTATAATAAGACTTATGATGAACTATGCAAAGAGAAAGTTCTATGCCTTCTAGCAAGACTGAGAAGTCATCTGTTTCTCTACCTACCTTGAGTCCATTTATCAAAATTGATGGAACATTGTGCCAGATTAATACAGTAAAAAAAACTTGTAATAATCAAGTTCATAACAAAATTTACATTTTATTTGTAAATGTGTACATTTTTTTTATTTGTACATTTTATAAAACCTACACATAATAACATTCCTTACCCATAAAGAGTAGTGGCTACATTAATGGTTGCTGTACGGTTGAGGGCAATCCTTGCCCAGGGGGCAGCACCAAGGTGTGGCGATACTCCTGCCTTACTCTCTTCACTACTATGGTTGCTGTGTCTCTTGCCAAGCCCAAGATCGGCAACAGTGCTAGTAAGGGGGACCCGCACCACCACCCACCACGTCACCCTTCCATCACCTGTCAGCGTCACAACCTGACAAGGAAACAATTTATATTTGAACTGCCATCCTAACATACTAGTCAAGAAGCAAGCTCCATATTGTGCAAATAAAACTTGTTAATACCTAATTGTACAAAACTATTCAACTGTTAGGGCTGGACCGAACAAAGTGTAACTAAGCCGTGCCTAGCTAACACCTACATCTATAATTAAACACAGCCTGTATCACACAAAGACTAACCTGAAACATATATATCTTGTACACATAAACGAACTATGAAGAATTAATAATATAAATAAAAGAAAGCCATCTACATTTCTCTCTCTCTCAATACAGAAAGTATTATTGTTTTATATATACATAACAAAGACATCGTCAAATAGTTTTCTACAGAGAAAACTACAAAGTACATCTGTATCCCTTATGAATACTCCATGACTTCTTATCTCCCAACTGGCTGGACAATGGACAAAAGGCAAAAAATAAAAATACCCGTACAGCGAACAAAAACATCTGCGCGGTACAAACCTGAAAGGAGCCCTGAGTATCCATTTCCAGATCCTGTTGAGTCGTGACTGTCTGTATTGCTATAATACGATTCCCTTCTCCATCTCCTTCATGGCATGCTGGAAGAAGGTGAATCTGTGTATTTATGCTCATTTAATTTGTTCGTATCATTATTGACTTCAACAATAAAAAAGTTTTATTTTCCACATATATGATTTAAATTTTTTTTAATAAGAACATACGAGATGGAAAACAAAAATGCTTTGTTAGTATTTAATTTTGTTTTTACTAGCATGAATTTAATAGCAGAACATGAAATAAACATAATCTAAAACTTAAAGGAAGATTTTATTCAAACACTTATCTGACCACTAGTGAATCTGAATGCTTAAACAACGTTTCTCTCTATATATATACAGTATTCATGAATTCTGTTAAAGTAATGTATGAAATGCATAATGCATTCAGATGCAGGATTAAATGCACTGGAAATCTTTGTTTGAAATTCCATTCAAAGAAGCGAATTCTAATCCTAAAACAATCCAAAAATTGCAGCCCCCAGAAGATTTGTCTTAAGAGGCAGGGAATCATAAAACCATATATATAGTACAGTACTATAATTTCAACCGAGAACAAAAATAACCCTTTTATTTTTCTACCTACCAGTAACATAAGAAGGAACTCGAACTCTCCAATTGACATCATCAATTTCAATTTGAAGTGTGTGCAACTGAAGTGGTTCCCGCAGATCCCACGCTGCCAAGGAACCATCCTCAAGTCCCGACAAGACGAGGGATGGGCGGGATGGACTAAATACGGCAGCAGTTGGAGGGGCACGACTACACAACAGATGCTGGGGCCGGGATGGTTCTTGCACCGACCACACACACACAAGCCCACTTTCACTCAATTCTCCACCACCATCATCGTTATCATCATCTTCCTGAAAATTTAAATATACACTAGAAGAAAATTTTTGACATACAATACACATGGTTAAATTTATGTGTGGTCTACTGGAATGGCAGAGGAAAAGGAAAAATTGCTTTCAAGTAGTATGATCACTGTAACAGGAATTAATATAAACCATTTGAAAAAGTGTATTCAATCAAATGCACTAGCACAAATAAAATGATGTTTGGTGTAAAATAGGTAACTCTGCATACAATGCCAATTTGGTAACTATAGAAAGTGTCTGGTAAACATGGGTCTGTTCGAAGCAAAGCCCACTAATTTTCTCATTTCATTTCCAAAATGTTGTTGTTTCGATTTTTAAAATGTCAACCCTGCTGAGCTAAATTTTACAGTGTAGAATATAATATGGCTTCAATTACTTTACTGTGTATAACACAATTGTGTCTCTACTTTGCTGTGTACATTTCAAATATGACTGTACCTAAAATACCTTCAAATACACAAAGTTAATTACATGCATGAAAAAAAAAGTCTGATTTCACAATATCGTTAATTCTCTGCAATGCAGTCTTACCAGAGAGCTATAACCATGGCCCGAGAGCAGGAGAGTTGATTCTGTTGCACAAAATTGCACAAAAGGTATTGACCGCTTATCTAAGAGAGACTTGACACTAGCACCCAGTGGTATCGGAGGGTGTGAAAAACCAAGACCCTCTGATGATGTGGTTACAGAGCTAGTGTTGTCCGAGTCAGCCAAATCCCACACTAACTCTTCCTCCAAGATTCCAAGCATTACCTGCAATAAGAGTTACCAACTTGAAGTCAGAGCCCAACTTGTCCAGCTGGGCTTTGACTCCCATTTAAATAACATAAATGAAGTACAAAAAAGTTGTAGGTAGACAACAGGAATAATAACTAACAAGTGCAGGAATAGATGTCGTGGTAGTTATACAAAAAAACAATTCATTTCCATGCGAAGCCGCACCAAAGTACGACAACGAAGAATAAGCCATCAACATCACCTAGGTTAAGTACTAATATATTGACTTCAATTAGTAAGACAATAATAATTCTAACAAACTTGCACATATCAAGAGATCAAGCACAATCCACAGCTATGACAATCAATTTATGCAGGATGTAATGTTTTAGTTAAATTAACATTGATTTATTTTACATGTTACTATCAACAGAAAAACAGAGCAGTGATACATTAATGTATCATAGCCCTGTTCATATCTATATTTTAGCAGGCAAACAACAAACTTAACAAAAGTGCGACAACTCACTGGCATACAATGCAAATCCATTGTATGGTTAAATAATGTTTCTTTACCCTTTCATTTAAAAAAACTGCATGTATGCACCCTTTCATTTAAAAACTGAGCTGCATGTAGCTAAAATTTTAGCTATAATAATTAGTCCAGCTGTGAGAAAAATGTGTGTGACTTAAATTAAGAAAGTTCTGCTGCATTAGGAAAGCAAACTAAAGATGACGGTGCAGATAAAGGGAAGATCGCTATAGCGAGAAAGTTTGCAGAAACATAACAGGTAAACAGAGTAAAATGCTAAAACAAATGCTAATATCAAATGATTAACTGACATATATAATGATTATCTACACTACATAATATGATTACCTATGCTCATCAGAATAATTACATATAAAAGAATAAAAACAATAGAACAGCAGCTTCCTACAAACAAATTAAATTTTAACGTCACACCAGCTAAGTGAGGTGTCTGGCAAAAAGCATACAGTATACATACAGTACATATAATTTTGACAATTTTACATCTTACTTGTGAGGACGAGATCAAAAAGGTAGTAAGTTTTGCGGTGTTGCTGCCCTTGCTTGGCAGATCAGAGTATTCCAAAGGATCCATGTCACCACCTACTCCGATGTAATCTTCTGGTCCTGGTAACTGACCACCTTCTCCGATGCTAATGTGTACAGGCTTCTGAGTCCACTTGCTGCGTGTGGTTATTTCTTCTGTTTGAACTTCTTCACATAATGCATCATCATTTGTTTGTACACTTATCTGAAAAATATATGATTCTGTAAATAGATCTATTTTAAATTTTACAATCTTGTAATAATCAACACACACATACCTTACCTTGAGATTACCTCGAGGTGCTTCCGGGGCTTAGCGTCCCCGAGGCCCGGTCGTCGACCAGGCCTCGACCACATTCACAAGGTAAATATTGACATGGAGACTCTTCCCCCTAGTAATTGATAAACAATCTCAATAACCACTGGTTTTTAATGGTCTTCTCATTTTCCCCTCTCACTTATCTCTTAGCTTAATTAATAGCTGAACATAACATTTTTTAGTGATGAAGCATTACCGAGTAAACAATCTTGCTTTTTCTGCACCCAATGACAACTTGAAAGTCAAAACTGCAAACAAAAAGAAAATGACCTAACTTTACCTCATCATATCATCAATTAGCACAAGAGACCAAATATTGTTTCTGCTGGTTGCAAATAATATTTAACTTCTAGCTGTGCTGGATTAAAACACCTTGGCTGATACTGTAGTTTATTAAGGAATATTACTCACTAAATGTTCTTTATATAATGTACATGTTATCAAAATTGAACCCTATAACCAATTTAAAACACTAAGTCTCAGTAAGAAGACTACTAATAGTCTTTACTAAGGCAGTAAAAATTACAGAAACCAATAAAGATCCTTCCTTCGGTGCTATTCACATACCTGATGTCTGTTAGACTGTCCAAAGCTTGAAATATACGCCTCATAGGATACTGGAGAGAGAGTGAGCAAATCCATGTGGACAATATCAAGTTCTATCATATTCAGTAGTGTGCGTCCTCGACTCATTATTTTTGACGAAAGCTGCAATAAAGAAATTTCAGGACAATGACAATACAATATTAACATATATAAGCAGACTAAAGTAATGACAAATTAATAAAACAATCTTAATAAGCAAATGACTAGTAAACTGCAGCCATAGACAAAATTAAATATATTTGCTACACTACTGTAACTAGAAAAAGTCAAACCAAAGTTATCAGCTTTAGAACGTTATGCTGGAAGCAATACAAAAATATCTATATGCCAAAATATAAGCAGTTGTAATTTGCAGTTTTACGAAATTAAACTTACATTTTGTAAATACATGGTGCTTCTACCTAAGGTATCCACAAATAAGGATATTTGTCACTAGAGATCAAGCTTTTCTATTGGCTACAAATGATACAGTCATAAGAGACAGGCACATTTTGCATAAATATCTAAAGGGGGGGGAGAGGCATTAAGTCTAATAATGCCTGCAATGTACTCATCTTCAACTTGAAAATGAACTGAAAATCAATAGATGCAATTATGATAAATGTAGGGTTCTATGCCTCGGAAAAAACAACAAGAGGCACCAGACCTTAGCCAAACAATAGTGAAATTCCAAAATCAAATCGTGTCAAATATCTGTTAGTTCCAATTAACAGATCTAAAACCAGGAAGACACTGCATCAAATGTTTCAATTAAAGGCCAAAAAAGATATTCTAATGCCGTTCTTCACCTTGTCCTTGCAAAACCTCATTTGGATTACGCAGTACAATGTTGGCCACTGTACTAAATATGTAGATTCTCTTGAAAGTAAAATGTGAATGATTACGAAGTTATTCTCAAAGTTAGGAACTTGCTATAACAAGAGACTATGAAAACTAAATTTAGATTTCCTTAAAGGCATTGAATGAGATAGGACATGAGTGAAATGTACAAATAGATGAAAGGGGAGATATAATAGGATTCTGGCTGAATAAATATATATTTAAAGAGAAATAGTTACCAAACAATATCAGAGGAGCAAACAACAGAAAATGTCCAGCAGATGATGAATAAATATACAACTCAAGCTGTATATATAATTATACAAAATGTCGTATAAATATAAATATATGAAATGTCAAGCAGAGGATGAAGTGGCAGGATATAAATTGAAGCTGCCACGCATGGGTCTAAAATCCTCCTACAAATTCACTATTATGTCCTTAATATTTGTTTAAAGCAAATAGGCATACTGATCATGTTCCCTTGAATCTTCACTCTACTCTACGTAAATCTGTCTTAATTGTAAGTTTGGAATCTTTTTCAAGGATGAATCTGAAATCAGCATAGAATAAAAAATGCTCAAATGAAGTAGCTATCAATCTAATAAAACCAACTAAAGAGAATGTAAACAGTGAGATAGCACAAAACAAACCTGTGCTGCCATCTGCTTCTTCTTAGCCTCGGCAAAGTTGACAAAAGTGCGAGATGTCTTTGGTCTCGGAATTGGTTTGGGCTTCTCTTCTGTCACATGTGGGTCTTCATGACATTCGGATATTGTGTCTATGGGATCAGAACATACAAGAATTATATCTAGAGATGGTGAGAGATGGAGTGAACATCGTACTTCACATGAATGTGACACATGAATGTCAGAAATGGAATCATCCGATTAACAGACTGTTTATTATTTAGCATTGTATTTCAGAAATGGACCAACTAAAAGAAAGCATGAAGCTTCGCTGTTCTTCTACAGGAAAAAAGACACATATTTAGGTACTAGAACAATAGTATAAATCTAAAGATACATAATTTTAAGAGAAATTAGTGGCGTAAAGAACAGCCTCATTGTATTCATAATTGAAATCTTGTTTTACTCTGGAACTTTATTTATAGGAGGGGAGGGGGAACACCTTAAATAAAATAGTTTCCAGGTTAATTTAACAGAGCATTCCCTATATTCTAACCCACATTACCTTTTTCATTACCTTTTTAGTAAGGTACACCTGCCCCTAACCGAGATAATATAATTATCAGGAAAATACACTTGGCCATTACAACTATATAGCACTTGGAAGGGATAAGGGGATAAGGATTTAGAATAAGATGAAAGAAAGAAATGGTGCCCAACCACTTGGACGGTCAGGAATAGAACACCAACTGGCAAGAAGCGAGACTGTCGCTGTACCGTCCATTCCAAGTCGTTGAGTCCTAACTGAGATAAATAACATTCATTGCTGCGATAGACCAGATATGCTGCAGGAATTAAACAGAAGACCTGAGAAATTCTTTTCACAAGACAAATTAAAAAAGGGGACAGATATAATGTACACATAATGAAACCTGAACATTTCGGACAAGGTGTACACTACTATCCTGGTGTATAATATTCAGTAGTTTTAAATTAGCTACTGAATGAATGTGTAGTTTTTGACGAGTTATGTACAGTACAGTAAAACACACAAGTATATATTAGCTAAGCAACCTAAATATATGATTAATTATAAATAGTTTACGTTATTTTGTACCAAGTTGTTTGATACTAGTTATGTAAGCAAAAACTTACAAATAGTTACACATTCAGTACACTATTTACAATTGTGTAGGTTGCTCATTTAATATGGAAAAATAATGAGGACGGCTGTACTTTATTATCTCTAAAGCACTGGACGTACCCATCAACATGGCCTTTTCAGTTGACACCGGTGACAACACTTCTGGATCTGGAACATCCATGCTTGGTATCCGTTGTAAACGCTTCTCAAAGTTGTTCTCTTCTTTTAATGCCTTTAGTACAGCAGCTATCTCGGGATCAACAATTCCCAATCCACTTTCTTCATCTTCAGAATCATCTTCTGAATTATCTTCAGAGTCATCTGCAGAGTCATCCGAGTCACCTTCCTGCGTCTCCTCCTCCAGCGGCTCCTCTTCATTTCCTGAACCGCTATCATCCTCAAAGTCTGATTCGTAATCCTAGCAAAATATCAAAATACATTAGGAGATTTATCTAAAGAAACAAGTACTGTAACGAAGTTAAAACTGGTTTTATAATGGCTAGAAGTCAAGAACAATGCTAAATGGATGAAAAGTACATATTTTTGTTAGAAAAGTCAAAAATTTCATGACATTTACATATAAAACTGTCCTAGATACATCATATTGTGATTTTATTTTGTGTGTATATGTGTGTGTGCAGACACACACACACTGTAAATACATAAACCACTTTATATAAACTACTTTGTCTAACCTCAAAATCCTCCTCATAGTCGTTTGTCTCTTCAACGTCATTTTCCTCAGCAGCCTCATCATTGAGAGGTGCAGCACCAGAAGCAGCTGGGGAATTTTGAAACGGAAAAGAGGCAGAATAATCTCCCTGTGTTTCACGGAGGGACAAACTTTCATCATCAAACATGTCGACTTCATTTTTCATCACCTCTTCCATTTCATCAACTTCTACCATTTTTGACGAGATTGACTCTTCGATGTCAACTTCATCTCCACTCAAGTCTCGTGGGGATGACAGAGATATTCCTAAAAAAAAAAAAAAAAAATAAGACAATAAGCAGAGAAACATAAATACTGGATATGGACAAAATCATATAATTTATTGCAAAATTATTAAAAGCTTGTCTGTTTGTATACCTAATATTTTCACTCACACAAGTATTTGTAACTAGAAGGCTACAATTCTACTGGTTATGTGATAAAATTTATCTCATTTCCATGTCACGCCAAAGCTAAACTAACCATTCTCACCCGGCAACCTTACTTACTTACTAATCTTAGCCAAATATTATATGAAGCAGTAAAGTCAACAAGTTGAAACTATAAACTCTAGCCAACCCCTGCATTCCTCCTCACAGCAATTTCCTAGTCTACAACCAGCAAACAAATACCCAGTAATCTCCTTATCAAAATATACCGAAGGAAATTTAGATCAACATTCTATGATGGTAAGCATTAGAAAGGGGCATCCTTATCACAAATATAATAAGCCTATGTAGGTAAAAACATCACAAACAATGAACATAATGTAATTTACACTCCTCAGGGTCAAATAAACATTTTGCACATCTACTGAATGCATTATAAAGTCAATGGGAGCACGTGTATTTGCAGTTCAGAAAAACTTTGCACTTGGACATCATTTTAGATATCTAGAGAATAGACTTTGATATACCGGTAGGTAGGTAGGTGTGTAATTACAGGATGAGAACTACGTTCATGGTGTCCCATCTTCCCAGTACTCTTTGTTGTATAACGCTTTGAAACTACTGACAGTTTTGGCCTCCACCATCTTCTCATTTAGCTTGTTCCAACTGTCTTACCACTTTGTTTGCAAAAGAAAACTTTCTAATGATTTTTTGGCACCTCTGTTTCCTTAGATTGAAACCGTGTCCTCTTGTTCGTGATGTTGCTGGTTTCAGGAATTCCTCCTTGTCAATTTGGTCTATTCCTGTTAAAATTTTTGTATGTGATGATCATATCACCTCTTTTTCTTCTATCTTCTAGTGTAGGCCTGTTTAATGTCTGTAGTCCCTCCTCGTAACTCTTGTTTTTCAGTTCAGGAAGCCATTTTATAGCATGCCGCTGCACCTTTTCCAGTTTCTTCATGTGCTTCTTGAGATTTGGGTACCATACAACTGCTGCATATTCCAGTTTTGGTCTCACAAATGTCATGAACAGTTTCTTTAATTATATGGATGTGAAATACTAAAGGCAAGTTTAAAGTTGGATAGCGACACATACGCCCCTCTCACAATGTTCTGTATGTGTTCCTCTGGCAACAGCTTACTGTCCAAAACCACCCCTAGGTCTCGTTCTCTAACAGTGTTCTGTAATTCCTTTCCACATAATTTGTAACTTGTGTGAGATCTATTTTCTCCAAATCCACATTCCATAACACAGAATTTATCCACATTGAATTACATTTGTAATTGTAATTTACAATAAACACAAGGTATAAGCATAGAAAAGTTAATGAATGGTTTTACAACACATGACATTGTTTGTTACTAACCTGACTCCATTGTCTCGAGACTGTTTTGAGCATGTTCTACAATTTCTACCTCTGGTTTATTTGAATTCTGGGTGTCTGTCACCTGTCCTATACTCATACCCTCTACACCAGAATCTGAAAACATTGCATTATAAAATTAGTACAAGATATGACCTTGGTTGGCATGATGTTCATTCATTCACATAACATGCAAGAACACTATTTCCACTTCTAAATTTACCATACAAATTACCAAATTTACAATTTGTCTGACCAATAGAATCTGAATAAGGGGCAGAGCAAGACTAAAAGAAAATGGAGGCCTAGTTTTCCCCCTAGTCACCCTAGGGCACCATGTAGGGTAGTACTCACATGCACTGTACTGTACATGTGCACTACAGCATCATTACAGTATTTTTATGGGTGACATTGGTACTTACAGTATGTGTACATTCCCTCTCATACCCTTTGATTTACAGTACAGTATCACAAACATTCTTAATATATTAGCTGCGACAGTCAACAATTGTCACCGTATTTATATACTGTATTTCACAGTTCTGATGTTCAGCGTGTACTATTTTGATGCGCTGGGTTACATCTCACCTATGTGGGATCCAGGTTCTGGTCTACCTACACAACTTTGAACATTATTTGTTATTTACTCTAGCCACTTTTCAGTCACTTATGCAATGAATAATAATAGTAGAATGCTTGCTAGGTGCAAGGATGCAAGAAAACAATAAAACAAATTCTAAAATGCAAGAAGTATGGTTAAAACAGACGATGAGTCACAGTAACGTGGCAAAAGATATGATGACCAAACCACATATCTGAAAATGGAGAAACGACGACATTTCAGTTTGTCCTGGACCATTATCAATGTCATTTCCACAGCGTGATAATGGTCCATTATCATGTCCACAAATTGATAGTGGTGCAGGACAGACCGAAATGTCATCATTTCTCCATTTTCTGATGTGTGGTTTGGTCATCAAGTTTGGCTTAAGTGCGAGGCCAACCCGTAGAAATTATGAATAATCCACAGATCCATGCTCGACCCCATATAAATCACAAAACAATCTGTTTTTCAAACTTGCTATAGAAGTAAATGTTTGATGTTATCCAATACCATACATACCAAGAAACTTCTTTACTGTACAAAACTCACCATGAGCATCTCCATCTTCATTATTTGTTGTACGGCTGCGCTCTTTTGCTGCAGACTTTTCCCTTGACCGCGAGCTCTTTACCCTGCTTCGTTCTTCTCTGTTATTTTCCTCTTTGTTAGGTTTTCTGTTATCTTTATCACTACGTGACTTGGCAGATGGGAGTCGTCCTGTCTTATCCTGATCCTTACTACTTCTGTCTTTACCAGATTCTTTCTGAGAATCTGATGGTTCTGCTGAAAGTACTGTAATGAATAACATGACAGCAACATTTTTTCTACTAATTAAACAAAATTTTACAAATTTTAATTCACTACATATACAATACTGTATACTCAAACTGTACTTCACAGATATTATGACATACAAGCCTGATTTATTTACAGCTAATAATAAGCTGGAGGGAATAAGAATGTAACAAAATTCTTTAAATGAGTGTGGAATGTAAATGAATAAGAATTACTGAAATAAGTTTAAGTTTTGGCATTGACTTTGTTGAAGCAAAATAAACATGTCAATGGTATTCTATTATTTTCAGTTACCAAAAAACATTTAAATTATGTTTTAATTTACCTAAAACATTCAATACCAAATCAATTAATACCAAAATAGATTGTAAAATATTCTCTGTTTACTACAAACTGGTACAAGCAGACAACACACCTCTTTGACTTCTGGAGTTATTCGACCTCTCTTTTCCCCTTTCCTTCTCAGTCAAAGCCTTACTCTCCTGTTTATCTCCACGACCATTCACTGGCTTCTTTCCTCGGCTTTGACTAGAGGAGGAATCTTTGTCTCCTCTGGCACCCAGTTTAGTAGACGATCTCTCCACCTTGGAAACACTGCTATCTCTTCTGTCTCCTCTCTTTGGTTCCCTCTCTCCCTTGTTTTTATCATCTTTGCTGGAGCTTCTGTTCTCAGGCCATGGAAGAAATTTTGCAAAACAATTCTCCGAATAATACTAATTACTGTATGTTAAAACGATTCCTTCCTGTAACTAATATTATTCAAAATACTAAATTTCTCATTTATCTTGAAATATATTATGGATTATATATTACAGTAGTGTACTGTATTGTTTGTCATTACAAATAATGGCTAGCAATTCACATCAAACATGCACATGAAGTAATTCTAGATCTTATGCACCTAGAAGTCCCACCCTAGTGAAAAATACTCTACTTCTGGCAAGAGTAGTCTTAACAATATACTACAGTATTTACATAAATGTAAGCAGCATCAATTGTTAAACAAGCTGGTCTGAGTGTTTCAAAACTATATACAGTAGAACAAGACAAAAAAATCACAATGTGGCTGAAAATCAGACACCCAATCCACTAATCTTAAAATAGAGAAAGAGGTGAAGTTTGTCTGTCATGGACAAGTCTATTATGGCTAATCATCAATGGCCAATCATTATCATTACACAACTTGATAATGGTTCAGGATAGACCAAACATTGTCACTTCCTTTATTTTCAGATTTGTAGGACGAGTGTCTATATAGAACTCGGCTCTCACCTATTCTTGCTGTCGCCACCGGTTGTCTTTATGTTACTAGGAGTAGGCTTCACTGGTCGTGATTTGGAGGTGGAGGAAGATGAAGAGGCAGCTGGCTTTGTTCTGGATGATGTGGATGGAGTTTTGGACGTGGACGGAGTTTTGGACGTGGACGGAGTTTTGGACGTGGACGGTGTTTTGGACGTGGACGGTGTTTTGGACGTAGACGGTGTTTTGGACGTAGACGGTGTTTTGGATGTGGACGGTGTTCTGGATGATGTTTTAGAAGTTGGGGCGCCCTTAGATGTAGAAGATGAAGTTTTGGATGATGATGTAGGTGCTTTAGATGCAGGTGGTTTGGATGCACCTTTGATGGTTGATGGTGTCTTAGATGATGCTTTTGGTGTTGATGATGATGTCTTGGATGATGTTTTCGGTGCTGATGCAGTTTTGGATGATGATGGTGCCTTTGGTGCAGATGAACCTTTAGCCGAGGGTGCAGGGGCTTTGGATGAAGTTGCTTTGCCTGTCGGTGCCTTGGTTTTAGTCTTGTCTGAACTACCAGATGGCTTTGGATCTTTTTCCCTCATTTTACCACTGCTTGGTCAAAACTGAAACACAGCCAAAGACAATAATTATAGGAGTAGAATGTTTTAATATTTGTATTAATTTAATACAGAATATAATAAAATATTTATTGCATAGAGAGTACCAGCCATGAAATATTAGGTCCACCTACTGCAGTGCTAAGAATTGACTGACACACCAAGTATTGTACTGGCGTATGGGCAACCAATCCAAACTCCAGCTAAGGGTTCGTTTCACGAATTACTTGTTACTTTGTAATTTATTCAGAATATATATTGATCATGATTGTTAGTGAGTTTCAGTTCCCATCTGTCTGGTTCTTCTAAAACACTGATTAGGCAAGAAAACCTGAGCTCACTCTGGTCAAAATACCAAGAGATTACATAAAAACTGTACTGATATACACTCTTTGTGACGAAATCGACGACATCCTACCCAACCCCAATTCATTTAGGTGTGGTGACAATAACGCCATCTGTTGAGGGTGTGGTGACAATGTCAACGCCATCTATTGAGTGCGCCCAACCACATTTTCTGTTTCCCGGTGGAAGGCTGTCATCGTATTTGATCCCTATGTAGTTTCTGTCTTGCTAATGACATTTTTGTCTGCAGACGTGATGTGGAGAGCACCTTGGTTAACAGGAGGCAGTTCAGCCAGGGCAGTCCTGAACTCACGACATGTTCCAGTGGGAACAAGTGGCCACGTCAGTATAGACAATGATTTGTCTGTAATACTTGCGAAGTATTAGTGATTGAACCGACATACCCAGGATGACCTAATTGAGTTATGAGACAGAAGCATTGTCAGTCTGATAAGGCTTGTTGTAAGCCTGTGTGGACCTCCGCCAGCGCGTTGCTGGGGGGACCTCCGCCAGTGCGTTGCTGGGGGGGGGGGGGACCTCTGCCAGTGCGTTGCTGGGGAGACTTCCGTCAGTGCGTTGCTGGGGGGGGGGGACTTCTGCCAGCGCGTTGCTGGGGGGGGGAGGACCTCCGCCAGTGCATTGCTGGGGGAGTGGGACCTCTCCGAGCGCGTTGCTGGGGAAGTAGAAGTGGTGTTCTAGACACTGATGATACTGTGTAGGACTAAGCTATGCTGTACTGAGTAGGGTGAACTCACCAGTGTGAGGGGCCATAGAAGACAATATTCAAGGAAGGAACATAGAGTAGGGTACAATAAAAGTTAGACGTGGACTCGCCAGGAATGAAGACTGGTTTATAAGACATTTAGTGTGTCCTGTGCGAAAGTGACACCTGTAGTGATGTTATGTACGTGTGTGTGTGTGTGTGTATTTATATATTATTAACTTTATTTTAAAATTTCATTACACAAAAAGGGTTACAACATTGGTTACATGCAAGGTACAAGACTACTTGTCACAAGTTGTATAGCTCCTCAGATGGCGGGCAGGAACCATGGATGCAGTGAGCATTTCCTCTCTGGATCGCCACACTTGGGCACTGAAAGAGAAAACTGGTGGCTCTAGGGTCTCTAGTTGTTTCAATTAGCTTGGACCCCAGCTCCTTCAAAAAACTTGCAACACTTTTACCCCAGGCACCAAGTGTCTCTGAGACAATGGAGACAAAATTATTGTGGTGATCAAGGTCTCCGTATTTACGTGACTTGGGTGCTTCCCGGTGATTGGCAGCACCTCCTGCCTGTGCAGCACTGAAGTTAACATAGGTGTTGGCTAAGGTTGAAATGCAAGTGTAGTCCCACACCCACTGTCTACCATTCTTCCAGGGGTTCACCGTGATCCCGTCTGGGCAACTGACAGGCTTGTCAGGGTTGCGGGGCATTAGGTAACGGGGCTCTCTCTCTGCTGGACAACTGGCCGTGGTAAGACTTCTCTTGATAATGTTGTTAACCTCGCCGTGGTAAGACTTCTCTTGATAATGTTGTTAACCTCGCCATGGTAAGACTTCTCTTGATAATGTCATTAACCTCGCCATGCTAAGACTTCTCTTGATAATGTCGTTAACCTCGCCATGGTAAGACTTCTCTTGATAATGTCGTTAACCTCGCCATGGTAAGACTTCTCTTGATAATGTCGTTAACCTCGCCATGGTAAGACTTCTCTTGATAATGTCGTTAACCTTGCCATGGTTAGGGAGGCCTCGTAGCCTGGTGGATAGCGCGCAGGATTCGTAATTCTGTGGCGCGGGTTCGATTCCCGCACGAGGCAGAAACAAATGGGCAAAGTTTCTTTCACCCTGAATGCCCCTGTTACCTAGCAGTAAATAGGTACCTGGGAGTTAGTCAGCTGTCACGGGCTGCTTCCTGGGGATGGAGGCCTGGTCGAGGACCGGGCCGCGGGGTCACTAAAGCCCCGAAATCATCTCAAGATAACCTCAAGAAGATGGTAAGACTTCTCTTGATAATGTCGTTAACCTCGCCATGGTAAGACTTCTCTTGATAATGTCGTTAACCTCGCCATGGTAAGACTTCTCTTGATAATGTTGTTAACCTCGCTGTGTCTTGCATGCCATCCTCCTGTCCTTTGGCAGAGAAGGCCATGCCGTCCGTATCTGTCGGCCACTGCCTCGCCGTAAATACACCTGTATTCGGTGTGGATTGGGGCAGCGAGGCGGAGAGCCACAGCAATTTGGAGGGCCTGCGGTGTGAGACGGGTGCCGGTTGCTGACATTGAGGTTGCTAATAGGAAGTCCCCTGCATGGGGAGCTGCTACAGCTTTAAGTCGGGCAGTATCATGTGGTGTAATATATTATAAAGAAGTACAATTGGTTCGTTTTTTGTTGTTTACCCCCTTTCAGCTAACCATTGATTATTACTGTCAGTTCTTGATACCTTATCGTATGACTCTGGGTAGGATCTAGTAAGAAGAGGCATTAAGGCCACATATACAGTGTTTGAAGTAAAGAACCCGGTTACTGGCTACGTGTTTAGACACTTTAATTTTTACCCCAATTGTTTCACATATTTTAATTCCTCTAAATCTAAAAAGTTGACCTATTCATCCTCAGGACATTCCACACGAAAATCTCCCAATTTCGTACAGGATTCCAACGTAGGTCCATCACACACTAGTCCATACAGCTCACAAGACCAGGTCCCTTCTCTCTCTCCATTACCCAAGCTTGCCCTCACCGTATTTTACTGCAAGTGAGCGTCATGGACGAGTGGTAGCGGAGGGAACATGGAGGAGAGGCCGTCGCTGGCGTCAGCTGTGTCGTCTGTAACCAAAACAAACTGTGGAATCTCCCAGCGTGCCCCGCGGCCCTCTCGCCTGAGCACCGTCTTGCGCACCCTCTACCACCTTTAGATATGTATGTATTTATTTATATATATTTTTTTAATTATGCTGTAGCTTAAAAACAAGGTAACTGAGTGATAATTGCTTTTTAAGTTGGACTATATCATATTTAAAACTAATACAAGGAGTGAGAACTACTCCACTCCCCCCCCTTTTCTCCCAGCCCCAATTGCTGGTTAACAAGTTTATAATAATTGTTCAGTTCATATTTTTGTTTATATACATACAAGAGTTCTGATATATGTTTGGCTCGTATCTAATTATGTGTGTGTGTGTGTGTAAAGTTGCGTCATAAAGTTTTCCATTAACAGGGAGGGTTTGTGGTAGATGGATTAATCATCATTAGGTAATTTTGAGTGTTGCATGTGAGAACGGCCTTGCTTACTAGGAGTCAACCTTGTCACTGGACGAACTTATATCTTGACTGCTACTTCGCCCAGCTGGCCTGGAGGTCGTCTGAAACGTGTCGTGTTTTGACCATTGTGTTCTCGATATTACCATTGTTCTTTAACAGCCCTGATTGTTACGACGCCCTACCTAGGGTCACAGGTAAGTTGATAACTGTTCTCCGTTTTCTGAATAGATCTAGACAGAGTCGAGAGATGGCAGCCGGGGACGGACGTGATGTCTGGTGGTTCATGGAGGTTGAAATTGAAATTGAAATAAGTTTATTGAGGTAAAATACACACAAAGGGATGAGGTAGCTCAAGCTATTCTCACCCCGTTCAATACATCGTGTTAATACATACATAGATACACATCACAAGCAATAAACGTATCGCCGAACATTTTGAGAGATAAACATATATATTTCCTCTTCATGGAGGTGTGTTAACGAGGCTGCAGCACCTATAGGGAGGAGAAGGGCGTTCGGGATTCTGACATTAAACTACGAATTTTTATTGCACGTCTATTGGTCATTCGATAAGATTAGCAGGCTTCTAGATGTTACCACTGCTAGGCTTAGGCTCGGCTACAAGTACCTCTGAGAGTTTGTAACATCTGCTGATGTATATCTGACTAAATGTAAACTCTGTCAGCAGAACTATTCGCATACTTTGCGTCATTATATAATGGAATGTGAAAAAATCGCGGAATTCAGAGATAACACCGTCAATGGAGTCCAAGAAATGTGTAAGTACTTCATTCATAATGATGTGCTGCGCAGAATCTTAGCGAAGTATCCAAAATTTGCTTACTGTAGGTGATGCATGCACATGATTGTAAAGCTGCCGCCCAGTTGGGTGGGTGTGGAGCAAGACTAGTAACTGTGTGACTCACCATAGATGTAAAGTGCCTTGTATAGTGACTGTTGTGAGCCTCTTGTTGATCACTTGTGACACAAAAGATTATTGTGTGTATATTTGTGATGGTGATTGTATATGTATATATGTTTACATGTATGTATGAATGTGTACGAGCATATATAACATTAATAATTGTGTAACTAGCGTCAAAAGATTGTTATTTGCTTAGCTAACGAACTAAAGGATTCAGTTCCTGAACGATTATGTGCCTCTATAACCCTTTACACCACCGCCCACGGGATGGGTATGGGGATGCGTAATAAAGAAAGAAATTGAAATTTATGGTTTTCTACGAGTAAAATGCACGTGTTTAATATATATATAGAAACGAGCGCTGACTTTCTCTTGTTTTCTCTCTCTCTCTCTCTCTCTCTCTCTCTCTCTCTCTCTCTCTCTCTCTCTCTCTCCCACTAACCATTGACCTCTAAAAAAACGTTCCCGGGTCAAAATTTCTGGACTATAACAGGGGAGCGTTTTTCTGGCGGCTCGTAATCCAATCTGGCCACGGGCAGTAACGCACTAAATAACATTTGCAATTTTAATGTTACATTGATGCTTAGCGTGAAACAGTGTTGCCAAGAGAGCGGAGGACATGAGGCTATGGTGAGAGGTGAGAGACTTTGCGGGTGTTGTGGTGAGTATAGTGTGTGTAGTTACAGTGTATGGTGTATGGGGTGGGTGGTGTGTACACGCCTATTTGTGCCTGCTGGATCGAGCTTTAGCTCTCGGACCCATGATTCCTGGCCAATGTGGTTAGTGTGTGAGTGCTGAGTGTAGAGTATTCGCCTATTTGTGCTTGCAGGGGGGGTTGAGCTTCGGCTCTTTGGTCCCGCAGTGGTGGTGTGTGGTTGGTGGAGTGATATTTACCTAGTTGTGTCCACAGGGGGAGCGAGATCTAGCTCTCAAGCCCCGCCTCATAACACTTGTATCTGATACAGTTACTTGCCTCTCACCATCCACTTCCTCTTGGAACGGTGTCAATTCCTGTTTTTCCATTATGAATACTGTACGTTATGTATGATGTGATGGTGAGGATGGTGTTGTATAATTGTGGTGAAGATGGTGTATAATTGTGGTGTACAATGATGATGTGGATTGAGATGACGGATTATAATTGTGGATTATATATACAATATATTACAAAGATAATTAATAGGTAATATTCCCGAAACATTTAATATATCTAAAATTAAAACTTAAAAATATTAATTATTAGTCTAACATAATTAATAACATAATGGGGTGCGCGCTGGCATAGTTGTCTCGCCTAGGTGTGATTCCTGGCAATGAGCTCCAGCTCTTGGGTCCTGCCTCTCGATCCCTTTTGCCTCTTTTTATCCAATACTTTCACACTGAACCAATTTTTCCTAATATCCCCGTGGCTCATTTGGGAACTCAGTTTCTACCTATGTTTTCCTGTTCGCGTACCACCGTTCGAGCCCATTTTTTATCTGTGTCCCCATGTTTGTTTACAGATATTCTCTCCTAGTCTGCCCTAACGATTTAAGATAACGACTTAGGGCAACGATTTAAGATAACGACTTGGGGCAACGATTTAAGATAACGACTTAGGGCAACGACTTAAGATAACGACTTAGGAGCACGAAGGCAGTGACGTAAGATCAATATGCTACGCCTCCAACCAATCTAACATAACACTCGCAGCTTCAACGATCCTAATTCAAAATCAAATTCAAATAGTCAACAAATGATCAAAATGGCGGCACATGTTGGTGACCAAAATGTACAATCACTTGCAACTTTTCAAAACAGTTTGTAATTGAATGGCTAATGACACTAAATTATATTCATTAAATTGTTATATTGTTATTTCGGTATTATATACGTATCGTCGAGTCAAAGCCATCGTTGCAAACGACGACAAAAGTGCAGTTCTAGCTTGCAACAGCTGTATGCAGCTTGCATGTGGTGTGTAAACAAAATGATAAGCCTTGCTCAAAAAAAAATAATAAGAGTACAGATGTAAAAAAATAATACATTTTGGGATAATAATAATAAGCCTACAAGTAATATATATATATGTTCGTTTTTAGGTGAGGTGACAGAATACAAATCAATGGGTAAAGACACTTTTACATACTCAGAAACGAATCTATGGGTACATTGCGTGCTTTCTCTTCTTCTGTATTGGTTCAGTGTCTTGAAATGGGTATCTTTCAGGACACTTTCTTCCGACGGCTCTTAAAATGGAGGAAAGTGTCCTGAAAGATATTTTTAATAGGAACGTTATCCCCGCAGACAAAAAAATCAGAAGATACAATTGACAATTTACTACAAAAACCTTAAAACGGCCAAACTACTCATGAAGAATTCTTCAGACACCAAACAGAACGCCTTGAAAGAAACCAACGTCGTCTATGCCTTCACGTGCCCACTTAGAGACTTTCAGCCCCAAAGATCTCAGTATATAGGCAAGACAACAACGTCTCTTTCTTGGCGATTAACAATGCATAAACAACAAGGGGCTTTAGCAAGGAGCATATAATCTCCTCGCACAACCAGATCATCTCCAGAGAAATCTTAACAAACAACACAGAAATTATCGATAGATACAGAGACAACGGGAGACTCGACATCAGCGAGGCACTACACATCAAAAAGTCAACACTAGCAATCAACAGCCAATTAACACATAATTATATTCTACCCACTTCAAGATCCCGAACCAACGTGGAAGCAAGAGGATAAAACACGCATTGTATCTCTATTGATTCGTGTTCTGAGTATGTAAAATTGCCTTTACCCATTGATTTGTGTTCCGTCACCTCACCCAAAAATATTTGTCATATTACGTCACTCAAAAACGAATATATAACAAATAATTGTCATAAAAATAATTATAATAAATGTTATGATAGCAAAAATTAATGTTTGTAATAAGTTATAACAAGTTTTTATAATTCAAATAATAGCTATACTAACAGTTATTTTTATAATAAAAACCTAATACAAAATTGTTATAATTACAAATAATAGTTGTAATAACAAAAATCTGAGTTATAACAAAAAATAATAATAGCAAAAGATAACAAACCTAGCAAGAAAAAGAGAGAAAATTTATGCGAAAATAGACGAACAAATAAAAAGTGTAACCCCTAAAAAAATGGCGGGTGCATCAGGACGAAGGCGCCTCCCCACCGTTCACAAAATTCAACATTGTGAAAATCCAGGAACAATATTTTTCCCTGAGATATCATTAGCGGTTATCTTCCAAACATCGTAAAAAAAAAGAGCCAGGGAGGGATATGTAAACTTGTGTGTGAGGTGGTAACACTGACCAGCTGGGGCGTCTGGGCGCCTTGGGCGGAGGGAGGCAGTGTTGCCAATACCAGCCCTGTGTGTTTTATGGTCGTGTGTGTGTGTGTGTGTGTGTTTTAGCATATGTACTAACATTAATGTGCTTGCAGGAGTCAACACTATATTTTTTTTTTTTGCAATCCTTACATGTAAGTTAATGCAATGATGATTTTTTTCGCTTTTCCGCTATTTTTTTCGTTTTTTTCTTCATATTTATAGTCGAATATCTGCTTGAAGTTGCTTACTGAGCTTACCGCGATGATCGCTTACTGCAGCCTACTCGCAATTCTTGCACTGAAGAAGAGTTTTCAAGCTATCCCTCTGGC